TTTATAAAATTTTGAAAATAAATAATATTTCATCATAAATCTTGGCCAAAATTTATTCTGTTATCTTTTTAGTAAAAAAAAAAAAAATCCAAATTAGTTTATAACCAAAAATTATAATTTTTAAACATTTTTTTTTACATTTTTATTTTATTTTTTTATATTATTTTTTTATTTATTTTTTTTTTTTTTTACATACTGTCACCGTAGCAGTACAGTGTCACCATGGTGACACTGTAACTACTTGTGGGGGGTGATGAAGATTTTTTTTTTTTTTTTTACACTGATTGCTTTTACACCCATGTAGGGTGTAAAAGCAATCATTTCTCTTTCTCTCTGTCTGCATTCTTGCACTCATTGAGAAGTACTGAGTGAGCTGTGATTGGTCACAGCTTGTCACATGGTACAAGGCTGTTGTGAATAGCCTTGTACCATGTGACCTCTGTGATCATTCACAGATTTCACACGTAGTAAGCAATGATGTCACAAGTGACATTTTGCTTACTGCTTTGCATGTGATTGGCCAATCAGTGATCACATGATTGGGACTTCGTACAGAGGTCCTGTCTGACGATCGGTGTTTCACTGTGTCCTGAGGACACAGCAAGCACCGGATCGCGGTGCTGTGCACTCCCAGGGAGCGCGCACAAGCAGGGTGCGGGGAGGCCGTTTATAAATGGCCACCCGACCCTGCAGTGCCACCGTCCGGCCGTTTATATGCAACGGCCGGTCGGGAAGTGGTTAAACTAACCTAAGCCCCTTGCACATTGAACTCCCTTTTTTTAACACTCTTTCTTGGCCTTTTCTTCCCCTTAGTCATGCAGACCTCTTCTATGGGTCTCACTTGAAGTTTGTAGCTGAATATCCATGGACTCTAGGCTCCAATCTAATTTGCCTTGTGGCTGATGCTTCACTGCTATCACTCTTGATCAGAGTGGTACAAAATTCAAGAAAATATTCTGATACTATATTGCAGTTGCATTCACACATGACATACACATTGTTCATTTTACACCTGTGTTTGTACATTTCTTCCGGAGACCCTTAACCACTTGCCCTCTTGAGGATTTACCCCTCCTTCCTGACCAGGCCATTTTTTGCTTTACGGCGCTGCGTTACTTTAACTGACAATTGCACGGTCATGCAATGCTGCACCCAAATTAAATTTAAGTGTTTTTTTCCCCCACAAATTGAGTTTTCTTTCGGTAGTATTTGATCGCCTGTGTGTTTTTTTTTTTTTGCGCTATAAAAAAAAGACCAACAATTTTGAGAAAAAAACTGTATTTTTTACTTTTTGCTATTAAACATGTCCAGTAAAAAAAAATTTAAAATCAAATTTCATCATAAATTTAGGTCAAAATGTATTCTGCTACATGTTTTTGCTAAAAAGAAAAATCCCAGTATGTGTAAATTAATTGGTTTACGTGAAAGTTAGAGCACTTACAAATGGCGGTATAGATACTGGAATTATTTTTTTCTACTAATAATGGAGGCAATCAGTGACTTATAGTGGGACTGCGGGACTGCTGCGGCTGGCACTCTGACACTGGGGGGAACGGACTTGGTGTCACTGACATCCCCAGTGACACCAATACAGTGATCAGTGCTAAAAAAAGCACTGACACTGTACTAATGGCACTGGGCAGGAAGGGGTTACCATGAGGGGCGATCAAAGGGTTAACTGTGTGCTGGGAGTGTTTTACTAGGAGGCAGTGTGTTGGTGCACAGCCATCCAGAGCAGTGTGCCAGAGGTGAAAGGGAGTAGGACTGTTAGTAAACAAAGCAGTCTTCCTTCCCATCAGAGATGCTTGGTAATCACCGGGCACCGGCGGGTAATCACCGGGCGGGCCCTGGTGACTGACAGTGCGTGCCCCCTACCCGGAAATGCAAACTCACGTATATATACGTGATTTTGAGCACTCCTGGCAACCTGTATATATACTGCTATAGGGCAGCAGGGAAGTGGTTAATATAGGCTTACCTGTAGGTATATGTCAAGCAGGTAACTTTACTACTGCTTTAAGAAATTGATGCCAACTGCACGGTAGAAACCTGATGTTTCCCTCTCCACCCTCACCTAGCCATTCATTTGTTTTTGTTTATGTTTTTCCCTAACACACTGCGCCTCTTCTAGTGATAGAAAGCATTGATCAAAACATCATTGATATCACTTGTCTGCAGTGATATCATTTAATTGCAGATTGCTATAATTTTTGACTGACTGTGGATTGCTATTGGTCAATCTCAATCTGCAGCAGCAACTGACATTGGATGTGCGCTATTAGGTCACAGTTTTTACAAATTTGTTCCAGTTAAATTCAATTTACACAATGTGTGTAGGAATATTCTAAAAAATGCATGTCACTGGAGGACTTGAGTACCCTACCCATTTAAGCTGACCACAGATTATTCAAATCTGTGTTCTCCCAGCTGAAACAGCTCCCTGTGCTCCACTTCCACCTGGGAACACAATATCTCCAGTGAAGGGGGTTTTCCCCCATCAACACTGAGAGTGTGATTGGGGAATAGAGCAATTTTCTTTCCTGCACCCCATGGTTGCAAGAAAAAAATTGCATTATCTATAGCCTGTCCTACTATAAGGACTCTGTTAGGATCCTTGAATGAGCACTTCTGACAGCCAATGGGAAGCATCTATGTCATCAGGAAGGGACATGGGTACTGCCAAAGGACCCTCCCACACTACAGACCAGAAGAAAGAACAATTGGGACTCATAACTATGATTTAAGGTTAGAATTTGGAGCTTTCAGTTAAAATTTTCAAAATAAAAACTAAAGATTAGCTAGAGTTGGGTGAAGTGGAAAGAGATTTTTTTTAAGACCACATATCATTTTTAAAGGAAACTTTTCTGAATGAAACATGAAGGCTGATACTGATTTATTTTTTAATTGCAAATGCTAGTTGCTTGGCTTGCATGCTGAGCCCCTTGCTTCAATGCCTTGAGTCACACACTGTCAGGAATGGACTAGCCAGCAATGGTGGGACTCACCTGCCTTTTGATCTGCAGTACCAGGGCTGGCCAGCGGGTGCTCCCAGCAATCAGAGACTCAACTTTGCAGCCAGCTAACACCTGGAACTGATTATGCTGGGGTATTTAAGGGATGGTGAGACTTGCAGACTCTGCCTTGGTGTTGTGTTCTCTTGGGCCCTGTAGCCTGTTCCTGCTCTCTGTTCCTGTCTGATTCTCTGATGACCCTGCTCTGATCCCTGGCTTGTCTGACCATCCCTCTGCCTGACCCTCTGTACTACGCTGCTTGCTACCTGTTCTGATCCCTGGCTTGTGACCCTGACCATCCCTCCGCCTTACCCTCTGTACTACGCTGCTTGCTACCTGCTGAACCTGGCCTGTGACCCCGACCATTCTCCGCTTGCTCCCCCTGTACCTACCTGCCCTATTGATATTGACCCGGCCTGCCTGACGACGCTTGCTTGTATGTACTGTTATCTGTGGGTGGTTGGTTTGGTTTGGTTTGGTTGCACTGTATTATGTTTTAGTATTGCACTGCGTTTATGTTTGTATTGTTAGTGTTAATAAATTATATTGTTTATAACATATCTGAGGTCTGCGTTTCCCTGCGTCAGTCACACATCTCTGGTCATACCCGGGAGCCCTGACATTACACCAAGGCCAATCCTGACCAGAAGTGGCTGCACAGGGAAGCCATCTTGGCTTGTTGCTGGGAAGGATGGATCTGGATGAGGTTGTGTATTTATATCTGCTAGTGTTTGATGACAGGGAGTATGCTTATCAAACTCTGAAGGAGTATCCCAGGGATCAACTACTAGAATGTATACGGCTCGCTCATGTTCTAGTAGATCAGGGCACAGAGTTCTCTGAGGTGCAGCCTTTGATTGAGGTTTGTGCAGAGTTGGTTTCATCTGGTACCCCCGAATGCAGGGATGAATTTTTGCCACCATTTAGTGCAGACCAGGTAGAGTCCCTGGTGTGGTTATTAGAGGATGATGTGGGTTACTTTCTGGAGCGTTATTCCACATGTTCACCACAGACACTAAGAGATTGTATAAACGCAGTGTCAGTCATTGACCAGACAGGCTTTGTGTAAGCTCAGCTTTGTTCAACCCATACTGCAGACATGGACAGACTTGTTGCACCCAGCCTCAGTCAGCTTACAAAAACCCAGTCCTGCTTCTAACTCTACTCCTGTATTTCCCACCAGCTCCTCCAGTTACAGCCCAGTATACTTGGCTATCTACCGCATGTCAGTACCCTGTTCCCACTCGCTGCACCTATCCTGCCTTTAACCCTGTAAAAAAGCCCTCTGTAGCAACTGCTCCCTCTCCTGTTCCATCCTCCAGTTTTTCTCTGTCTCCAGCTGCTCCATTCGTTTGCAGACCTGCGTTTACTTGCAGTGCTCCAGTAGTTAAAACCAGAAAAAAGCGAAAATTCTTTCCAACCAATACCATCCTGCCAGTATCCAAACCGGTGAACCTGCCTTCCGTGACTCAGCCTGAAGCCTCTACTCAGCCTGAAGCCTCTACTCAGCCTGATGCCTCTACTCAGCCTGATGCCTGCTCAGCCTGATGCCTCTACTCAGCCTGATGCCTCTACTCAGCCTGATGCCTCTACTCAGCCTGATGCCTCTACTCAGCCTGAAGCCTCTCTTCAGCCTGAAGCCTCTCTTCAGCCTGAAGCCTCTCTTCAGCCGGATGCCTCTCTTCAGCCGGATGCCTCTCTTCAGCCGGATGCCTCTCTTCAGCCTGATGCCTCTCTTCAGCCTGATGCCTCTCTTCAGCCTGAAGCCTCTCTTCAGCCTGAAGCCTCTCTTCAGCCTGATGCCTCTCTTCAGCCTGATGCCTCTCTTCAGCCTGATGCCTCTACTTCAGCCTGAAGCCTCTACTCAGCCTGAAGCCTCTACTCAGCCTGAAGCCTCTACTCAGCCTGAAGCCTCTACTCAGCCTGATGAAGCTACTCAGCATGATGAACTGATCCAGCCCACGATCCTATTAGGCCAGTTGACTCGATGCCCGCTGTTGATCCAGATGATCCGGTACCTGATCCAGTGCCCGCTGTCGTGCCAATTGACTCAGAGCCCGCTGTCATACCTGGTGACCCGGTGCCCACTGCCCGCTGCCTTGCCAGATGACCTGATGCCTGGTGACCCAGTGCCCGCTGTCATACCTGGTGACCCGATGCCCGCTGTCGAACCAGACAATCCGATACCTGATGACCCGGTGCCCACTGTCGTGCCTGTTGACTCGGAGCCCACTGTCTTGCCAGACGACTCGGTGCCCGCAGTCTTGCCAGACGACTCGGTGCCCGCAGTCTTGCCAGACGACTCGGTGCCCGCAGTCTTGCCAGACGACTCGGTGCCCGCAGTCTTGCCAGACGACTCGGTGCCCGCAGTTCCGCCAGTTGACTCGATGCCCGCAGTTTTGCCAGACGACTCGGTGCCAGTTCCGCCAGTTGACTCGATGCCCGCAGTCTTGCCAGACGACTCGGTGCCCGCAGTTTGCCAGACGACTCGGTGCCCGCAGTCTTGCCAGACGACTCGGTGCCCGCAGTCTTGCCAGACGACTCGGTGCCCGCAGTCTTGCCAGTTGACTCGAGCCCGCAGTTTGCCAGACGACTCGATCGATGCCCGCAGTCCCGCAGTTTGCCGCCAGTTGACTCGGTGCCCGCAGTCTTGCCAGACGACTCGGTGCCCGCAGTGTTGCCAGTACGACTCGGTGCCCGCTGTTCCGCCAGTTGACTCCGGTGCCCGCCCGCTTCCGCCAGTTGACTCGCCGAGCCCTGTTCCGCCAGTTGACTCGTGCCCGCAGTCTTGCCAGACCTCGGTGCCCACTGTCGTGCCTGGTGACCGGTGCCCGCCGCTTCGCCTGGGGGCCCGAGACCTGTTGCTCCGCCTGAGGGCCCGAGACCTGTCGCTCCATCTGGGGGTCCGGCGCCCGCCCGCCTCCGCCTGAGGGGCCCGAGACCTGTCGCTCCATCTGGGGGTCCGGCGCCCGCCGCTCCGCCTGAGGGCCCGAGACCTGTCGCTCCATCTGGGGGTCCGGCCGCCCCCGCTCCGCCTGAGGGCCCGATGACCTGTCGCCCCGCCTGGGGGCCCGATGCCTGTCGCCCCGCCTGGGGGCCCGATGCCTGTCGCCCTGCCTGGGGGCCCGATGCCTGTCGCCCCGCCTGGGGGCCGATGCCTGTCGCCCCGCCTGGGGGCCCGGTGCCGGTCGCCCCTCCCGGGGGCCCGGTGCCTGTCGCCGCCCCGCCCGGGGGCCCGGTGTGCCTGCTGCTCCGCCTGGTGGCCCGCTGCCTGCTGCTTCGCCTGGTAATCCGATGTGCCTCTGCCCGGAGTCCTGCCCGATGTGCCTCTGCCCGGAGTCCTGCCCGATGTGCCTCTGCCCGGAGTCCTGCCCGATGTGCCTCTGCCCGGAGTCCAGCCCCAGTGCCTCTGCCCGGAGTCCAGCCCGATGTGCCTCTGCCCGGAGTCCAGCCCGGTGTGCCTCTGCCCGGTGTGCCTCTGCCCGGTGTGCCTCTGCCCGGTGTGCCCCTGCCCGGTGTGCCGCTGCCCGGAGTCCTGCCCGGTGTGCCAGTCTTTGATATCCCGCCAGTTACCAGACCCGGGCGGTGGAACATTTTGCCCAGCTAGGACTGTTTGGAGCGTCCTGAGGCCGCTCCTTGAGGGGGGGGTACTGTCAGGAATGGACTAGCCAGCAATGGTGGGACTCACCTGCCTTTTGATCTGCAGTACCAGGGCTGGCCAGCGGGTGCTCCCAGCAATCAGAGACTCAACTTTGCAGCCAGCTAACACCTGGAACTGATTATGCTGGGGTATTTAAGGGATGGCCAGACTTGCAGACTCTGCCTTGGTGTTGTGTTCTCTTGGGCCCTGTAGCCTGTTCCTGCTCTCTGTTCCTGTCTGATTCTCTGCTGACCCTGCTCTGATCCCTGGCTTGTCTGACCATCCCTCTGCCTGACCCTCTGTACTACGCTGCTTGCTACCTGTTCTGATCCCTGGCTTGTGACCCTGACCATCCCTCCGCCTTACCCTCTGTACTACGCTGCTTGCTACCTGCTGAACCTGGCCTGTGACCCCGACCATTCTCCGCTTGCTCCCCCGTACCTACCTGCCCTATTGATATTGACCCGGCCTGCCTGACGACGCTTGCTTGTATGTACTGTTATCTGTGGGTGGTTGGGTTTGGTTTGGTTTGGTTGCACTGTATTATGTTTTTAGTATTGCACTGCGTTTATGTTTGTATTGTTAGTGTTAATAAATTATATTGTTTATAACATATCTGAGGTCTGCGTTTCCCTGCGTCAGTCACACATCTCTGGTCATACCCGGGAGCCCTGACACCCACTAAGTACAGCTATGCAGATAAGCACTTTTGACTTTGCCTTTTATGATTTTCATAGCTGTTCTTACTCCATGACTAAAAAAAAACATTGAAGCCAGAGTGCCATTGTAACAACAAGACAAGTATCAATTTCAGATGGAGGCCAGCAAGGGCAAGAAAATCGAAATATTTATAGACATAATTAGACTCATTAAGGACCTACTTTCCTCCATTCTGTTTAATAACTTAATATATACAGAAGCAGAATGACAAGCCAGAAATACTGTAATTGCCCCTGTATTTGTATACTCTCTGTCTCCCTTTAAACATTTCACCCATGTAGTCCTAGCCTAACAAACCAATGTCAATAGGTTTGTTTCAATCCACTTATATCATCAGATTTTGTCCTAACCTCTAGAGCATAGGGTTTCTCAACTAGGGTTCCTCCAGAGGTTGCTAAGGGTTCCTTGAGCAATGAGCAATTTCACCCTCTTAGATAAGTTCCCACTGGCACCATTGATGTTTTTAGCTATCATTAAGGGGAGAACCACAAGTATAGGGAGCATTCTTCCCACTGATCATTACAATAATGCATTATGAGTTGTAGATATAGTCATTTTCAGCAGGGGTTCCCTGAGACTGGAAAGTTATATTAGGGGTTCCTCTGTCTTGAAAAGGTTGAGAAAGGCTACTCTAGAGAGTTCTTGATCAGTCTTACCCATCCCATCTGGGTGGTATTTACACTGTATTTTTCTTTATTTATGTAACCAGAAAAAACTTGGGCTCTGATGGTAAAGGAAATTTATGTTAATGCACTGTGTCCTGTATTTAAGGAAATGGATCACTTAACTGTAGAGCAGACACTTATCACCTAAATGGAAATGGTCAGTAGGATATCTCTAGTACTTCAGGAAGGGCTCTTTTTTGAGCTATTATCATGGCACTAATTTGTAGGGTCTCAGGGCTGCCTCATAATTAACAAGGTCCATGGCTATTAATTATAGCTGCCATGTAAAATCTTCCTGCTGAGAGGAGAATCCCAACAGTGAGCGATCTTCTGCTGGGATCCTGCTAATTACTGTAAACATTAAATATAGAAAGAAGCATAACTAAAGGTACATGCTATAAGATGTGGTTTTAATGATTTTTCCGTTCATATCTGATTTGTGACAAGTTCTACTTATTTTATTGCAATTTAAGGGCATGCATTATTGATCAGAAGAACTCCAGGCTAATTAAAAGCAGGATATTGTTTTAGAATGAGGAGCTGTTTAGATCACTAAATATATCAAATTAACACTTTGCTCTTTTGACTTGCAATAGGAAAGAAGCAAATTTGCTGCCCAGTACTTGACACTCAAGATGATATGGTGTCTGTCGGCTCCATGCCTTGCATCGTGGCAGGAAACATTCTTCATAGCAATCCACTGAAAGTCTGAATCATATCAAAGCAGTAAAGTATTTTTTTTCTCCTGGTTCAGCACTTCTCAGCAGTGACAATTGTCATGTGCAAGAACAAAAATATAGATGTCTCTTTTTCCTGACAGCAATAGTAATGGGGGCATCTTAAAGAGTACGATTTATGCAAAGACAGAGTTGTCACATGACAAATATAGATTCAGTAAACAAATAAATGCTCATATGGTATGCAGCTGGCCATATAGAACACACTTCATTCATATGTACACAAGTCTTGCAAAGTAACTTCATGTGTAAGGATGAAAGAACTCAGCATAAATAAAAACATGTAAAAATCTATGATTCAAAGGGCTTTTACAATTTTTACTGGATTATTTTATTTCATGTATGCATTTTAAAGGGAGTCTATTATCATTTTATATTTTAAGACATGTATTTGAGTGTGGTCAGCTTAAAGAAGATCTAATTCATACAGTTTATGCTAAACCGTTGTGTATAATAGGCAATTAGAGCCCACATGACAGGGTACAATATATGAGAGCAATATGGGATTTATGTGTGTTTATGGGTGTTATAAGAGAATTAGGGTTGATAGAAATGTAAAAGCTATAAATGTAAATTTGTTTTTCATGATGCAGACTCTGAGACAGTTGACTATAATACAAGCTTCACTGCGTAAAGAATCACAGACTAGGAACAACCATGCCCCAATTAAGTCTAAAAAGTCTAAATTCCAATCCTGAATATGTTTGAGACTTACAGCTGCAGTTACAGCCCCAGAGTCAACGCCTGTAAAACAAATCAACAAATGCACCCTCTTAATATTATTCCCATAGGTTCTCCTAAACAAATCAAGTTGTAAAGCAAGGTATACATGGACCAAAAATTGGCTAGCTTACCAGAAAACCTGCTTACGTTCGGTCTCTGTGTACTGCTGGAATACCAGCATTTGATAAGTGCATGTAGCCAATAGCTGCAAGCACTGATCTGTGTATTCTGGAAGTTGGAAGTCCCCTCTGTCAGCATAAAATAGTGCAGCAAAGGAGATCTCTGTATCTACTTTGCTTGAGTGGATGCAGGAATCTGCCAGTTTTTTTTCCCTTCAACCAGCTGGTTGAAGGAAAAAAAAATGAATGTGTATACCCTTCTTAAGACAGGCTGCAATATAAATTACACATCAGACGTAGCATTGCTCTTCTTATAACCACCACCCACCAACAAAGAGGAAGAATTGAAAAACTGCCGAGGGGTTTAATCATAGTGAAAAATAAATGATGTTCAACAAGACATGGAACGTTTTCTTTATAACTATCAAGTTATTCAAAGGAGGGAGCCTGTTAAAGTCTGGTAATACTGTATACAGATTTATATATATATATATATATATATATTATATATATATATATATATATATATTCATATATACATTGCTCAAAAAAATTAAAGGAACACTTTGAGAAACACATCAGATCTCAATGGGGAAGAATATCAAGCTGGATATCTATACTGATATAGACTGAGCAGTGTGTTATGAACGTAAGGATGCCCCATCGTTTGATGGAAATGAAAATCATTAACCTACAGAGGACTGAATTCAAAGACACCCCCCGAAAATCAGAGTGAAAAAATGATGCAGCAGGCCAGTCCAGTTTGCTGAAATTTCAT